TGGGATTTCTCTCGTGGAAATGTGCACATTATTTTTTCCTTTCTATTGGTAGGTGGCACAGTGCACTTGTGGCAAGTAAGCAAGCTAGAAGACTGGCAGTCTGGCTGGGTATCCAGTTACGGAAGCAACACATTAACAAGAGAATTCTGAGTAAAACCAAAGTTACTTTCCCTAGTAACTAGTTACTCTGAAAGTAACGAAGTAACTTGAAGTAACTGAGTTACTTTTGATGAAGTAACTAGTAATGTAACTAAGTTACTAATTTAAAGTAACTTACCCAACACTGGTTATTGGTAATGCTCATTCAACGTAGTTACTGTAACGCGTTACTTAATAACGCGTTAGTCCCAACACTGCCAATAACATTATTAAAAAGCATGTTCACAGCCTGGTTCAGAATCTGCTTTGGACACTTCTTTTCATCTGTTACTGCACTAATAACTGCATGTGTGAGTTGCACCCGTAGAGTTTATGAATGGCAACAAAGCTGATAGCTTATCACAGTAGTGACAGAAGGATGGTTATAAAACAATAAATCATAAAGAGAAAGCATCGAGGCAGGCTGTCCACTGTAGTCTGTGACATACAGAAGTCAAGCCCCTCATGCTCTGCTGTAATTACTACTCACTTCACCCCCATAACTCTTTAGTCCACTGTTGATCTCTGCTCATATTCTTTCTCTGGCCTCTCGTTTCCCATCATGCTCAGCGATTCTTTCACCGCCAGTGGGCCAAACCATGTTGCCATGGCAAACAGGGTAAATGAGAGATGGAGCCCTGAGGTAGGATGACAGAGAGCATTGTCTGGGAGAGTGTGTGTGTGTGTGTGTGTGTGTGTGTGTGTGTGTGTGTGTGTGTGTGTGTGTGTGTGTGTGTGTGTGTGTGTGTGTGTGTGTGTTCGTTCTGAGTGTGCTTGACTGGATGTATGGATTCTAGCACAGGGATGTGATTTGTGCAAACCACATTTACACACAACAATAGGCTTTAATGTTGTGTGCAGCCTCTCGGGAGGGAAAAGGCCGACCAGATGTGACAGATGAATGAGAGACACTACGCTGATATGAAGACGCAGCGCTGAGCACCCAGTGTACCTAAACACATTTAACTCAGCTTTATATCAAATAACGCAGCCATGTCGCAATGATGTTGTGGTTCACATTCTGCCTGCACATAGTTTATGCAAATATGGAGGTGTGTGTGTGTGTGTGTGTGTGTGTGTGTGTGTGTGTGTGTGTGTGTGTGTGTGTGGTAGCCATGTGGTACAATTAATGACCAAGCAAACAGCTCAGCTAGTACTTCTGCGCCTGTACATGAAGCAGTTTATCATAGTCTGTATCTGCAGGCACACATGCAGAAAGATGCAAGTAATCCACACACTCACATGCACACCTCAGTGCAGACCTGAGGCTTATCACGGTGTGCACACAGACCATTCATCCTTAGCAAACACTCAACTGAGCTGATATTGTGTCTGCTGGTGACAGACACTGGAGATATATCTCCAGTTGTGTGTTTTACAAAAACTGGAAGGCATTTGGACGTCCTCGTGGACCTTTGTGCTTTTGATGACGAATTTTATGGCTCTAGAACCCAACCGGGCCCAAGTGGACGTTATGAAGATAGTGAAACTTTAAAACATAAATATGGACTAACAATAATGCAACAGTAGCCTTTGAAGTGAAAACACCTAATTTAACAAGTTCAATCAATAAGCCCAGAATCGATGGAATCAGGCAGATGCTGTTAATAATTTAAAATGCTACTGCACATCTTTTAAAAATCTCACAATTAAAAAAAACTACAAGCAAATTCTTCTGTCTACCATTATGACTTAAATATGCTAATATGCACAAACTAGCTCATACACAGCATCACCCAGCAAACAAAAGTCAAAGTAGAGAGCACCTGCAAAAAGATGGCAAAAACCTCCTCGTCAGCTAAAGAGGCCCCAAGTTCCACCAATGCACCGAAGACCCCCGGGTTTGGGCAGGGCCCCAGCGCATGCACCAACCCAAAACCCCATCGATGCGCCAACCCCTAAAATCCAAATTTTGATTCATCAGTCCATAACACCTTCTTCCAGTCTTCAGTAGTCCAATGGCAGTGTTTCATGGCCCAGGCAAGCCTCTTTGTCTTATTCTGATGTCCTAGCGATGGCTTTCTTGCTGCAACTCATCCTGCTCATAGTTTGTGGGTGTGTGTAGTTAATGTTGAACGCTGCATTTGACGCTCAAGTGAATGAGAAAAAACACGTCGATCGGTTGTAAGAAAGTGTGGCAGTACGTAGACCCGAGTGGTGTTTGGTGTTGTCTGATTATATGTGTGCACATTAACTTATATGATGTAGTGGATGTGGTGACACTGTGTGTGTATCCACGTGATCGTGGCGTGCAAATGAAATAATCTTTGTGTAAAGACCGAGGGTGCAGAAACAGAAAAACAAGAAAGAAAACTAATTGGGGGGACGTTGGGGGTGAGAAGGAGTGAAAAGAGTACGCTGTTTCTAACTAAGTAGGAAAACAGCTGATCTGTAGAGTGAGGGAAGAGAAAAGGAAGAAGAACATGCAAAGGGCCAAGAGGCAGGGATGAAAGGGAAACTCGAAGGAAAACAAGAACATTGTAACCGTCATGTTTACGCTGCGGTGACTGAGGGTGATTGATCTGTTATGACGTCACGTTGCATTAACAAATTGACATGAATAAGCTAGACAGATAAGGGAAGAGGAGGAGAGAAAAAGGCAGTGCATTCTCATCTGGAGTGGCGTTAATACAACCAGGGAGAGGTGCTGGGGTCGCGACTCTTCATGAAATCTTTGAATTTGGCCACAACAGGTCGCGGTCTCCTGGCTCCCAGCGATGAACACGGTGGAAGGTGATGTTCTTTACAGTGTCTTCCCGAAGCTTCAGGTGGGTCTTCATGAAGGTTTTAATGGAGGTTTAAAGAGATTACCTTCAGGTAACTTTTGCTCCTCAAAAGTTACCTGAAGGTAATCTCTCATGCTACGGGCCTGGAGATTGATGACACTCTCTTTTATTTTTTTATTTTCTTCAGCTGGGTCACATTCTCAGTTAGACAAGTGACAAAGTCCCACAGCTGAAACCTGAAAGCTGGACAGTCGCTTATCGATTGAGTCCAGTATTTGTTTAACTCTGAGCCACCATTCGCTTTTCCCCGCCAAGTCTCCAGGTGTCTGACATCACCTAGACCTTTGCCATGGAAGATTATCTGGTTTCACCTGATTAATACTCTAAGCTATCAGGGTAGTACATAACAATAACCTACAGCACACCAGAAAAATAGATCCGGACTACCTTTTAGGCTCAGGTGCAGTGACACGGCTTTAACAAGAAGAAAAGTCAGTCATTCACCATCTTTCTCTTCTTCCTGCGCACTAAAACCACCAAAGTCCTCTTCTCCAGTGTCGGAGACGAACAGGCTCAGGGTGGCTTCGTCATCCACTCTCAGCTTCTTTCCTTCGTTGTCACTTTCAAAACCAAACAAATCCTCGTTGTCAGTGTCAGAGTCGAACACCCTCAGAAGGGCCGTGGCGGTGTCCTCTCCATCATGCAGCAGTCCAGCCCTTCAAAATCCGTTGGTGATCGTGGATGTTTTCACACTTTTCCACGCTGTCAGATTCCACCGGTGGAGTTGAGCATGACTTGCTTTTCGCAAGTTTATCGCCGCTCATCATCCACGACTCCCGCTGAGCGCTACTTTGAAGTTTGTTTTTCGCGCTACTTGTACGGCACTATGTTGCCTGGCGGACGGACACGTGACCAACATACCACTCTTGAACCCCGATACTGTGTGTTTGATCGCATGCCCTTCCGCCAGGCAACGTAGTGCCGTACAACAGCGGAACAAACAAAACAAATCGTCTTACGATATGACAAAAATCATGGACAATCCATAGAAAAGCCGCACCTGACTAAAAGCCGCAGGGTTCAAAGCTTGTGCAAAAAGTAGCGGCTTATAGCCCGACAATTACGGTAATAGTCATTTGAAAAGGAAAAAGTCAGTCTGACCTTGGTCCTGGACCGAGAGGAAGGCCGAGCATGAATAGTGATCATAAGAAAGCAAAAAAGGTAAACTGGGGACAATCCGAGCTAACTCCGCTATGCCTGGTGTGCTGTGTGATTTTTCTAATGTGAAACATGCTGTGGCTCCAAAAGGTTGGGAAATACTGACCTAGAGCATTTTCATGGACTGTGTCTGAGATTAGAGACGTTTTTATACCCAAATTTGAGCCTGGTGGACGCTGAGAAGTCAGAAATGAAACAAGCATATTCATTCATTCGTTTTTTTCTGTACAGGAAAGCGAGTCAGTAATTATAATTTGCCATCTTAATCAAAACATAATAATTTGCTTGGATGGATAACTTTATATAATAAAAATTATTTTATTTTATCATTAAAATATCATTCCAGTTAAAGAACATGCAAACACTGGTGCATTCGGCATCACAGAAGCATTAATGTTAATTTAGGGCAGCTGTTGCAATAACTTGGATGATTTTTGTGTGATTTCTTTATCGCTATCATAACTAACACAGATCACATTTCTGTAATCTTCAGAGCAACAGCATCAACTGTGGGGAGACCTCGTTTGTCTGTTATTCTGTCCACCCTGTCATAAAACTGTCTCTGCATTTATTGTCCCTTAATTATTTAAAGTTCAGGTGAATAATTAGGGCTACACTAACAGTCTTCTTATCCTCCTTCATAAATTGGGCTGAAATGGGGAACAGAGTCTCTCCCTTTCTAATTAAGACGACAGATTCACTCAGTTTGCACAAATGGTGGCGGAGTCAGGTACGGTCCTGCTGCTCTCGTCATAAAGTGATGAACTGAAACCTTAATGTGGAATCATGACAGGGGTTCGAAAAGCATTTAGTAAGCGATGCGTCATGGCTGCCTCGGGACAGATTTGGGTGAATTCAGCACAGCAGACAGTAAAAGCAAAGCAACAGGAAAGGGTCGGCGACATCTGCGTGACCAACCTGGTAAGATCAGCCTGCTGCTGGAGCTGCTCCTGCACTTTACGGCAAACCTCGCCGGCGGTGTCGCAGACTTTGCCGACCTTGGTGAAGAGGGCTGCGATCTTGTCGCTGCGGAGAAACCCAGCAGCTCGTCTCTTCAGCAGGTGACCCAGGCAGGCCTCGACGGCAGCTGCAGGGACAGCAGGCAGCTGAGTTAATACTGACAAGGGCAGGAGAGCAACCAGAGGAAAGCATACACAAAGTGGAGGAGAAGAGATAACAGCTCAATTTTGAATTGAAGGATATCAGCAAGAAAGATGGAGACCGACATAATTATCACATTAAATGAAATAAAGCCTGAAAAGCTTGTGGTCAGCACAACCAAACACGCCAAATGGCTGAGACGATAGCATTTTTATCAGCTTCCAACAAGAAATACAGTGTTTTAAAGTATTAATGTATTTTTTTTAACTTTATGTACTTGATAAATCTTTATTGATTCACAAAACGAAAAAAAGCAGGACTGCAACAGCGACCAGGCTATCAAGGCAGCGGGTAGAGAGAACATTAGGGAGGTGGCTTGCTGTTAGCAGTGCCTGTGAGTACACTGATTGCGGATTGTCTAATTACTACTGACTCAAACTTATTTGAACAGAGACAAACTTGTTTTTGAAAGAAATGGCAGACAAAACCTCATCTTCACATTTCCGTGTGATGCCATATCTGGCTCAACTGTGGTTTGGTTTATGTGGCCCAGGCCCATAGCAAACAGGTCTGGCCCAGATCCGGCATCAAGTCGTAATGAAAGGAACCTGATGAGCACAAACATGTTCTGTTACAGTCGTGGAAAATTTGTCTTCTTTTGATTTTGCTTTCATCCTTTAATGGCAATTTCCAATCAATGTGGAATCATCAAAGATTCTCCTCTGAACTGCAAAGTGGTAACTCTGCTAATTATTAAACATGCAGCTGGTTTGAGAATATAAAACTACATGTGTCATTTCTCTGCAAGTGAGCTGCACAGCAGTGTTTATGTGCACATGGGTGCTGCTGCAGCTGACCTCTGATTTCCACCTGCAGGCTTTAGATAAAGATAAAGTTATTAGTGAAACACCCTGACATATTTAGAGGGTTGCCGGCGGTAACCTCAGCGTGCAGCTGCAAGATGACTATGTGGAAGAACAAATGCATTACGAACAGGACATTAGTATATGAGCTGAGGCACAAGTACAGAAGGGCACTGACTCATATGCAGAAAATGAGGGAGAAATTGAGGTAAACAGTCTCTTCCTAGCTGTGACCCATCCATTAGCCGTCTCCCTCCCTCCCTCTGCAATTGCTGCATTAGTGCTCAGCCATAATGAGCTTTAGGGCTGATGTTGAAAGCAAGATTGTGACACAATTATTTCAGCCAAAGCAAACAGAGAATTTAGCTCGTACTTACTCGGAGACTGTTTTTAATACGCAGCATGTTTTATTAATGCACCGTCATTTCAAATAAAGGTGTCTGCAGATGCTCTGGATCCAAATGAGCTTCAGTGTAAATATACAGAAGCCACAAAGATTATATTTATTAAAAAGCCCATCTGAAATATGTGATTCATGTCAGGTTTGAGTACTTGTGGTTCTCTGCTTGCTTTTGCTCTGTGAGGTGAATCTACCACACAATACTACAGACCGACAACAATGTTATTCTCTGCGATGCTGGGAAAAACCTGCTTTATGGGTGCAATCGTCTGCTTTTATTGCTACTCTAGGCACCTTAGAGGGTTGCTCAGAGGCTTGGAGATTTTCACTCACAAAGCTGTCTGTGCAGTACATTCACAGCAGCTTCTGTCTGGCAGATTAATACATTAGCCTCTGGGGACGTCTTGCTGGTAATACTTTCTCGTGTAAAACTGTCCTTTATCCTATTAGAAGAGGATCGCCAGGATTAGCAGCAGAAGAAGAAGTGAAGGTTTGCAGGGAGGGAATATTGATGCACAGTTGTTTCTGTGGAAACACAAGAATTGAGGACAGGATGCAAGCAGCTCTCCCACGGGAGGAACCGCACCCAGTATCAGCTCATCCTGCTGCCTCTCCTTACAACTGGCCTGTTAATTCATGTTCTGGGTGTCTGTGGCTCTGATGAATCATCAAATCCAAGCTATTACGCGAATAATTAGCATCATTCTAGGGCTATGGAAGAAAACACTGTGAAATAAGTGCTGCTGGGACCACAGAGCAGCGGAAGGCTCGTTTCAATACTACCAAAACATGCTCGCCATGCAAAATGTTTTCATTTTGGTTTAAAACATTCGCCTAATCCTTAGAGTCGCCCCTTCGATACCTCTGCTGATAACTCTAGATTTATGACAAGCATAGCTGTGTGTGCTTTTTCAACGCCAGTTTAAAGATCCAGCTGTCCACGTTGGTCATTCAGAAATCCACCCTCCCGCATTATTAGAATATTTCCTAATATCAATGAAAAAGTATTTTAAAATACAGAAATGACCAACAATGCACTAATTTACACACTTAGTATGTTGAGTCCATGAATTACTGGATCAGTGTGGCATAACATGGAGCCAATAAGCTTGCAGCACTGTGTTGAGTCATGGACCTGGGTCTGAGGAACCCAGGGTCCATGAGCAGATTTGGACTGATATTATATGCTATATGTATATTGAATGTATTGTGCTGCTGTCCCTTTTTTTTCCTGCTTGCTGGTGTGTGTGTGTGTGTGTGTGTGTGTGTGGGGGGGGGGGGGGGGGACAGGTGTATCTGGTAGGCCAGTTTAGAGGCACCATCAACCCTGGTGGGTGGGCCCTGCCAGGTGACCTAGGATGATGCCTCACACCTGCAGCTGATTGGCCTTGTCCGGTAGGGAGTTACTTTAGAGCACAGGTGTCCTGCAGGTTTTAGATGCGTCCTTGATCCAACACAGCTGATTCAAATTGCTAAACATTCTTCTCAGCATGTCCTGAAGTTCTCCAGAGGCCTGGTAATGAACTAATCATGTGATTCAGGTGTGTTGACCCAGGGTGAGATCTAAAACCTGCAGGGACACCGGCCCTCGAGGCCTGGAGTTCCTCACCCCTGCTTTAGAGAGTGGCTGAGCTCCCATCAACGTGGGATTGTTGCGTGAGGCTACCCGTCAATTTTCTCCACAAAGCTTTTCATGGAAGTATGACATCCTGGTAACGGGCTGCACAGACTTTGGACTGAATAAAACACAGTTGACCAAACACCATCGATACCAACCAAAGACAAAGCACACCAACTGTTCACACACTGTGGAAACTTCTCACTGGTCTTCAAACACTTCACACCCCTGGAACTTAATTTACAAATAAAATGCATCAAAAAAGAGAAGTTTTCTATTTATTCCACTACTTTTGACATTGTCCCTGGCTCGGGAGTGGTTTCATATTGGGACAGCAACAGCTGTGTAGTCAGTCACGATGCACAGACACCAGTCTCACATCACATCATCGCTCTGAACTTCTTCTAACTTCATTCGCTTTTCTTGTAATCTTCTCAAGGCTTTAGTATTTTATTTTATTTTCTGAATTTTTGATACGACACTCTGTAAACAGCCAGCCCTTCAGCAATGACTGTGGCTGCGTGTGCTGAACTAGACCTTCCTGATTTCAGTTCTTTGCATATTTGTCACACTTAAATGTTTTAGATGATCAAACAAAATGTAATATTAGACAAAGATAACCTGAGTAAATGTAAAATGCACTTTTTCACTAGCCATACCTACAGCTGATAGCTCCCAGACAGATGTGTCTGTGTGTGTGTGTGTACATGTTTAGACATCTTTGTGAGGACAGATGGCGTGATGCTATACTTGTGGAGACCGACAGTCACTTATGGGGACAAATTGAGCGTCCCCATGAGTTTGAAGACATTTTTGAGGCTCAAAATGTGATTTTAGCATCAGGGTTACAGTTAGGTTTTGGTTAGGTTTAGGCTGAGGGTTAGGCATTCATTTTTGATGTTTAGGGTTAGGGGCTAGGGAGAGCATTATGTCAACGAGACGTCCTCACCAAGATATGAAAACAAGTGCGTGTGTGTGTGTGTGTGTGTGTGTGTGTGTGTGTGTGTGTGTGTGTGTGTGTGCGCGCGCGCACGCGCACATGGCCGGAAACCCAGTATCATGGCAAAATATGCCGACACGCTGGTCCACCGTGTCCGTTTCACGCTATTCCTCTCCAAAGTGTGAAATGTACACGCATGCATCACCAGCAGGAGGAGATAATATGTTTAAAGCCAAGAAGTTAAAATAAATAAATAAAAGCCAGTAGTGATCAAAAAAAGTATGAAATACATTCAAGGGTCATTAATCACCAAAAACATTGAAGCTCGGCAGCTAATATGTATTTACATGTAACTGTGTTAATGTCTGTTTAAATGTTTTCCCATCACTTTGTAAGTAAACACCTGAATCGCACACATTGTTATCTCTGCTTGTTTTTGAGGTCCAGAAAGAGTGTAAACATGACAACGTTCAGGTTTCTCTGCCCAAACATTAGGAACAGCTGTGACATTAAATCTTAGGACAAAGTCCATTCACCAGAAACAGCATGCCAAAGTCGTCAAGCACCATCTTCAGGTACCAAGCAACCAGGAAACACACACAACAGCTGTAAAGGGATGGCTAGCAAGCATATGGAGCTGAAATACAATTAATATAAACACTATGAAACACTGAGAGAAAAGGTTCGAGTGCAAAATACAAAAATGAGTTCACAGCAAGGGCGTAGATTTGGCATGGATGGCGGGGACGTGTCCCCACCAATAATTTGATCTCTGCGAGTAAAGAAAAACAGCCCGACAGAAAGAAAAAAAACAATCTGTCAGCGTCTCATTCACCCAGCGGTGCAGAAAGAGTTGAATTACGTTCTCTACTGGAGTCCTATGTCATGTGACAAATATGGCCAATGTGATTGGCTGAGCCTTTCAGGGAGCTCTGTTTAGTTTTAGCATAATGTATTTTGGAAACTAACTGCACAGCAGGCAGCACTATTAGTTCTCTCAGTCTCAGAGCAGCATTTCTAATTTTGATTGAAACTGTCAGAGAAAACAGCAGCCTCGAGCAGCCAGGATATTAGTTTACAGAGGCTGTTAAAGTTATACGTCTAACGTTAAATATTGGTGACACAGAAATGTCATCCTAATGGCACTGACATATTCATAGGGTTC